ACATAAACGGAATTTAGAGGCAGAGAAGACTGCAGAGCAGAAAGGTGATGTGCCACAAGCTCCCGACAGTGGATCAACTGGGAGCTATCCATCTGGGTCAGAAAAAAAGAAAAGGCATTGAGTTGATAATTAGCCTAAGTGGCTCTGTCATCTTTGCTGGCCACTTTCTTCTCTTCATGGCCCCTAAGAGTCTCACCTTTTTCTCCCAAAATTTTCTACCTCTCACTAATATAGTCTTCCAGTCGAATTAGTAACTATTTGGAATTTATGCCACAATCTATAAATATGTAACAAATATCTTTGAAATCTGAATTCTTTACTTTGAAATATATGCTGGACATCCATCCCCATGAAACACAAACTATACCCTCTCCTGAATTATCAACATAGTTAGGTTCCCAAGAGTAGGATATGCAAAATAAGCATTATGAAAATGGAGGACTGAGCCCATCATTACAGAACTGCCAACTCATAGTGAAGACCCAGTCAACTTGACAAACAACTGGGGTTACTCCTGCCTCACACATAAACCTTCATTACTGCCAAATTACATTAGTACACAAAATACTCTGTAGTTTTACTGTTGTCATAAATGCTTAATGTCAGCAAACAGAACAGGTGGTAAGTAAGAAGGTGTATCGCTTTCATTCATGGTGTATATGCAACATCCACTTTTGTTCAATCTGTTTTCTTCCTCTGCCACTTCAATGGAGATTAGTGTACAGAGAAACAGTAAGAATTTCAAGACTCAGTAAGCGGGAAGAAGGAAAATAAGGGATGAGGAAGGCTTCTGGCTAATAATTTTGAACAAGTGTTTTTGAACATATGTTAACTTTTCACAAAGTATCTTCTTAGAAAACTGCAGGTTGATAATCTAAGTATTTTTACTAAGTGTTTATTTAATTCTAACATTTCACTAATTCCTTTTTTTATTCTTCAGGATTCCGTTTAGCTATAAATTCTTTAGGGAATCATCACTGACCACCCCCACCCCATCCACCACAAAAACATTCTAGAGGTTTTTGGTTTCCTTATCAACTTGTCATTCTATACAGCACAGTGTATAACTGATCATTGAACTTTTCCAAGATAAAATGGGATATGCATTATATTCATCTTTTTATCTATAAGTTTCTAATACAATGACTACATGGGGAAAGGTCTTAAAATCTGACTTCTAGTAAGCTGGTTTCTCTGCTCAACTTTCCCTCTAAGGATAGCTCTATCAAACAATGTCTTATCGCGCTTCACTTCATAGATACTCTTTTTTCTTTTTCACAAACTGAAAATTTAGCAACCTAGCATTGAACAGGTCTATCGATGCCATTTTTCCAACGTTTGTGCCACATTTTGGTAAGTTTCACAATGTTACAGTTTTTCCTGTTACTCCTGCACACTTAATAGACTATAGGCTAGCATAACACTTAACGTAGATTGGCAAGCCAGAAAAATCCATGTACCCCGCTTTACTGAGGTATTTTCCTTATTGTAGTTAGTGGTCTGAAAAACCAACTGATAATTCCTTCCAGGTACACTTGTACTTAATGACTTAGAAAAAGCAGTAACCGGGAAAAACAGACATACTTAAGTGAAAGGAAACCATTTTACTTTACCCTTCTGTGTTAAAGAAGTTGAGTAAGTATGAAGTAGTATTTTAGAGGAAAAGACTAATAGTCACTGCAGAACATTCAAGTCAATACTGTCTATATTAACTCCACTTCCACCCACATCTTAAACAACAGTTAGGTTCAAAATTACTAACCAAATTCTACTCTAGACCAACACAAATTTGTTTTAATAAAATCATCTCATTAAAAGGAGAGGATACAAATGAAGCACAAAAACTGGAATTACTACTATTACAGACACCAGAGAAGGTCTCTCTGGATTGCTACTGAAACGTCTTAAAAATAAACTACTAATTTGGAGAAAGTCTAGAGAACATTTACTGTTATTTTTCACCATGCTATCCCTAAATTTAAAAATAGCAACTATTTCTATATATCCTTTGCTAGGAAAACCAAGCAACCAGGAAAACGTCACTTTCCAACATTCTAAGTAAGCTAAGCAAATTCCCTAAGTAAATGTGCTATGCTATTAATTCGTTTGACTGCTTAAAATAATGTCTAAAACTTCCTACTAAATGCAGCTATCGCCAAGAAAAGGCTCATTTGTATTACAGTATTTATCCAATGGAAAGAAATACTACTATCAACTAGTTCAATCTAAGACATGTTATTAAAAAAATTCAACTTGTGAAGGAGAGAGAACTTGTGTTACTCTACCTAGGCAGAGCTTCCTTCTAAAGCACTAAAAGGTATTAGTGAGACACTTCCTAAATGTCTACTAACTTTTACATTTTTCATCTCTAAGCTCGTAATTATAATTATCTTGGAAAATATCAAAGTACTATTTTTTAAGTATTTTTTTTTAAATTTTAGCAACCTATAGTTATATAGTTCTTTTTACATTGCAGAATGTATTTAAACTCAGAAGTCACAGGCCTTTCTTTAAAATCCAGTAAAACTAATCAGAATAATAAGTGAGGGGAAACTACAATTTTTAAGTAAAGTTCATGAGTCCAAAGACTCAGCTAACAGAGTAGGTTTTCTAGGAAACCTCAATCTGATCTATTTGGTGACATAAATTGTCATTAAGGATTCTCCCAGAAAGAAGTTGCTCACAGAAGACCATTACCAAGCTCTCACTTCAGTCACACAACCTCTTTTAGTCTACCTACCAAAGACAATTTATCAATTTTCAAGCCAACAATTACATGCCTTTCTAATAAGTAACTTCTTTTAAGTTCTTGTTTGACTTACCTTTTATAAAATAAATGATTTACAGAGATAGTATAAAGTTACAGTACAATGTATGTTTCTTTATAACAAAACTGAAGGAGAATTCATTATTGAGAATCATTAACTTTTCAAATTCAAGAACCAAGTACCATCTATCTAAGCCTTACAAGAGAAAAATATCTACACTAAAATTTAAAAGTGTGTAATACTAATTTGGAAGTATGTAACGCTTTACTTCTACTTCCTGTTAAGAATGTCTACCATTACAAGACGGGAAATGATCAGTTTTAAAATCACTGGTAATCCCACGTATCACAATAAAAGATAAAACTTAATTAGACTGAGAAACCAACCTGTGCTTTTTGAAGCAGTTCAATTGTAAGAGGAAGCCAATCAGGAATAAGTTTCTCCATTTCCAAACTGACCATGGCCAGAGCAAGCATGGATC